CCTTGGGCATGCTCAAAGCGCTGTGTACAGATAATTTACACGAGAATATTTACAACCGAGATTATAAGTAATATACTGAGAACAGGTTTTAAATCTGGACTTTAAAAATGTCAATTGTGTCAGAGCTTTTAATATGTGCCTGAACCTTGTCAATGAGAATAAACAAGGCGTGACGAGGCTATAACGTATGTAGAATCTGTCAGTGGTCTTGAATCACACGCGACCTGCCTTTAGAATCCCCCCACCAAATATGCGCAGTGAAATCAAACATATTTGTATCTTTTTGCTTCAGAACATTGTTCACTTCACGGCTGTCCCTACTCTTAACCATGACGTTGCAATATTGTTGTACAAATGTGTTACACCGACACGCTCGGTTGTGTTCCCATGACGACAGTGGTCAGACTGGCCTGACATTTGTAAGGCTTCAGTGCAGTGTTTGTTACATCACAGAAATATACAAATTCATTTCATGGGGGATTTTAGGGGAAGCTCACGGTGAAATGCTCGCTCTTATTTTTTCACATAGAATAGGAAAGCCACCATTTTGGTTTCTCAACGATTGATTTTAGCTATCCTAAGTTGGTCATGAGCAACGTAGACTTTGAATCTTAACTTTACGATTGACTTGGGTAAGATTGGTTAGTGGAACGGTATGCCGATCGTAACGTCACGCTAAGATTGGGATTTTAGGGGTTTACGATTGGCGTAGGGCTAAGATCGGTTAGTGGAACGGCACCCTGGACTCATATTAAACTTCTTCTTCTCGTATGTATATATATATATATATATATATACGCGCACAAAATGTCCAAAATAGTACGGGTGGGGAAGGGGGTGACAACCATTATTGACATGAGTATATATGGTCACATCGAAGATTGATTTCTCCACTAACTTGGGGGAACCTACTGCAAACCTTATGCATTAAATTGCTGAAAAGCATGTGCAAATATCGTACATGTGAACAGCTGCGTTTTGGTGTAAAGTTTTGTTCAGAATTTGCCAATTTTCACTGATTTTTATCACTTATTGAACTCATTGCAATAATCTTTTCAACGTTACGAATTTGTTTTACAATATATCAGTTTATGTGTAAAATGTACCTTTAAACAGTATGGAATATTTTGCAAAATTTAGTTTAAAAAAGTCGCCTGAAGTAAGTGGCTACATTTACACTAGTGAGTCTGAACTGTTGATGAGAAGTATAAAAATTGAACTAAAATCATTACATCTGAAATTGACATTTGTATTCAAAGAAAGCACATCACAATTGTTCAAAACGCTTGAACTATTACCATATACCATATAAAATTATGTACAGATAAACATGTCACTAAAACAATCAATACATTATACGTCTTACTGAACTATAAGTCTGCTTTAATTACCCATATTTTGCAATGCCAATTGCTATTGGATAGACATTTACAGAACGTTTAATATACAAATACGAGTTACCTACGAATAAGATGTGGGCGCGGTGGGCGAGCTGGCTAAGGCGCCAGGCTAGTGGGGAAGGGGGGTATTACACCATGTGAGTGATCCAGGCTAGTGGGGAAGGGGGGTATTACACCATGTGAGTGATCCAGGCTAGTGGGGAAGGGGGGTATTACACCATGTGAGTGATCCAGGCTAGTGGGGAAGGGGGGTATTACACCATGTGAGTGATCCAGGCTAGTGGGGAAGGGGGGTATTACACCATGTGAGTGATCCAGGCTAGTGATCCTGGTGCCGGGATCGAGCCCACCTGTGACCGGGTGTAAAAACATTGGAGTCAATTTTGTGTGCAGACTCTTTCAGTGTTGTCACAACCCCTAGTGTACAGTACACAACCCTGCGCACTTAAAAGAACCCACGAATCCGTTGGTATATGACCAGATGGTGGCCACATGAATACGTGCAAACACCTAGTTGCGGCTACAGCAACGTGCAGTAAACTTGGACAAAGTACTGTGACTATGTGTCCCAGTCCACCCAGCTGTGAATGGGTACCTCGTTAGGATGAGAGCCACCACGATAACTCAGTGCGCCTAGTGGCAGCAAGAGTTGTATACTCCCCAGGAGTTGAGATTCATAATACGATGTGCTGTTGAGATTGACATCCAATGATCGAAGGGAAAAATGACAGCGCCATGAGCATGCACTAGTTGCGTGGATACGTGCGCTATATAAATATACTATAATAAGACATACCTTTGACAAATCAAATACATTTCTAAACCCATGCAACTTACTTCTACTACAGTCTCAATTCTCCTATGTTCTCAAGTGCATCGGTGACAGCCCTGAACAAGACATACAACTTCAAACACACTGACTGATGTAACCTACAAATTCGGAATGTTACCAACGAATATACATGTTACCTACGAATCTACCATTTATCCCGTGATATCATGCAAACTTTTACTTTTATTATCACCAAGATCAACTTGTTTTCTGACATTTCAATCAAAAGGAATTCATTATATATCACTATAATAAAGTCTAAACCACGAACTGCAGTGCATCCCTGAATAGAACATTTTTATTGAACGCTCAGTTATGTAGCCATTTGGAATTCCAAGGAACCATTTCAATCTATTAATAGGCAGTATTGCGTTCCTAATCGACCGCCTCCGTGGTGTAGTGGTTAGAGCGTGGTTAAAATATGTTACTTGTTGGTCCTGCCTGGCGCTCGGCATTAATGGGTACAACAAGGACTGGTCGGCTCGGAGTCAGTATAATGTGTCTGAGCGGGGTATTCATGCTTCACTGCGGCATGGTATCTCACTGGGCTAGCACTATGAAACCAGCTTCAGTCTGGGCTAGTACAAGCAGCCGCACATACACATACACACGTATGCACGTCGTCATATGAGCGAAATATTCTCAAGTACGAAGTTAAAGCCAATTTCACATCACCTCGCGTACCTAATCAGTTTTATGATCTGCAATAATTGTCTTCAGTATAAATTATGTTATAGCAGCGTATTGTGTTCTCTATTTCATTTTGTTAATACGAATACATGTTATCTACAAATGCCGTGCGCCACAACCTCCACTTGCAGTCTGAGGCCTTTTTTTACAATAATAAAACTTAAAACCTCACTAAAATTAAAGTTGGTTAGTTGTAACAGGTGTCATATGCATCCTATGTTATTGTGACATGGGTTTATTCATATAACATTCTTGCAGAAAATGTAACATACACTTACTAATCACCAATATGTTGTCTGGTCTCATCTATGATGACTTCCAAATGGAACACATGTCACGTGTTGTCATTCAACCAATCTATTTGAATGTGATCAGCTGTTGGTACTTGGAGGTAAGATTTGCGAATTAAAATGTACTTACGAATACAGGTTATTTTGTGTGATATCATCGTAAATACAACACAGAAAATGTTCAGATGTAGCACACGTATGTATTGTGGCCCTTTGCACTTGAACTTAGGATATCATTCACTAATGTGTTCATTTGTGGAAACAGCAACATATTTAATGGTATTTGTAGGTAACGTGATTTTTCTTACCAAATCAGACTTTGATTTTCTAACATTTTTTCAGATTATTACCTGTAAGAAATATTATGTAACGCCATTGCATTTGAGTACTTTACATATTAAAGCTGTAAAACGTAATACAAAACATAACCTTGTGTTGTATTTACATAAATTGACAGAGTCATTGAAAACTGTATTCGTAGGTAACCCCAAAGACATACCACTTGAAAACAATTTACAAAATTACGAATTAAGCCCCAGATAAAATCATTTCAGGAGATTTATTCATGAAATATTTGGCAATCAGATTAATAAATTTCTGTTCATCCAGATTGACTAGTATTTAACACACAACATGTTTTCACCAAAACATTTGTAAAATAAAAGTCAAAATGAATGAAAATGGTCTGTTTTTGTCTCCGATAAGCCTAAGTTTTAATTAAATATAGTCATGGTATAAATGACCCGAGTCGTCTCACCTGTGCCGATGTGATGGGCACCCTGAAATAAATGAAGGTAGTAATGCTAAAATGTTATGGGCCCAAACATGCTGTGTACACTTTGGAATCTACCTTATATAAATCATTGAAAATCGACTCAAAAAACTTTTCATCTTAACCAGATTTTACATTGAGTTGCCCTTTGGCAAATTCCGTGCATAAGGGCTCAAGGTATGTTAACATTAACCTCCAATGGCGTTTATCTGGCTGCTGATTCTTTTAACGTAACTACATGAGTAAATGATCTTAAAAATGACATGTGACATTGCTTTTAGCAATATTCCAACAAATTCACGGCGGGGGACACCAGAAATGGGCTCCACACATTGTACCCATGTGGGGAATCGAACCCGGGTCTTCGGCGTGACGAGCGAACGCTTTAACCTCTAGGCTACCCCACCGCTCCTCTAGATAATGAAACATGTTCGAAAGAAAGACCGCGCACGTGTGTGCAAGTGTGCGTGCGGGTGCGGGTGTGTGTGTCTGTGTGTGTGTGTGACAAGTAGAGAAATGAACAGCGGTTTTGCGCAGTAGGTGTCGAGAGTTATCTTTAAAGGGAGGTAACTTTCTTTAATTTGTTGTAAGCGATCAGCTACCTCGGCTCAAAAGTGAAAGCGAAAGTAAATGGGTTTGCTGTAATTATCGCTTGGGTTGTTGATTTATCGAACCAAAACATGATTTGATTGCCAAACAGAGAAAATTAGGCCGGCAAGACGCATTGCCGTGTTGTTGTTTTTGGTTATTAGTTGTTTAGGGTTGTTCTTGATTTGTTTGGGGGGTTTTAGCGTATAAATAGTTGAACGTGTATGGCAGGACATTTTCTCGTTGGGTGTGAGAAACATCTCCCGCCCAGCTGGTCAATATAAACATATAGTACAGAGCAGTGTAACTGTTGTCATTGTTCTCATGTAATTTCTAGGCTGTGCAATATTCGTAATTACTATATACACATGATACATAGTAAAATACATTTGAAATCAAGCAGGATGTGTCTTAAATGTCGTACTCACCGGAGTTCTCGCCCAGATACTGGTTGTCGTGCTTGCTAACACAACGTTGAAGTGTTGTATTGTCAGTGTGACAACGAAGTTAGTCATGCATTGGGCAAGAGTCTATTTAAAGCTTAGGCCTAGTGCAATTCTATTATTCATCTAGGGAAGACACCATCCACAACTAACTACAAACCTGCCTGTGGGTTGCTCGGTTGTCGTATTTCACTCGCTTACAAGGATCACAAAAGTAGACCGTCTTTATTGAATGGTTGGCTGGTTGGTTGTTGTTGACGTCGCCGCAAACCGAAACATGAGTCACCAATTCAGACAATGACAGTTTCAGCCGATCCGAATTTTCTCATGTGAAAGTGAAAAGAGACACTACAAACTATGGTTATGAATTTTAATTTCAAACTTTTAAAAATGTGCATTTCTCTATTTGTATGGTGATGTCACAGACTGCCCCTGTTTGATGAGATCGTAATATGATTCACAATTCATCTCGCATGGTTACACCTGTTATGTGTTCTTTGCGCTTATTAAGTGTATGTTTATACTGTACAATGTGATTGATATAATGGTGTTCCAATATACAAGTGATTAGATGTATCAAATAATACTGATGAATATTTATATACCCAGTTGAATGAGTTGGTCTAAAAAATCTGGACTTGTTATTGTACTAAGTTGCACAATAGGACGTAACCCAGTCAACAGGAAAAGAGACTGTTGTGTAATGAAAGTTTTGACTTGCCAGGGTACAGAAACAAGATATGGCAACACATTTTGAGGAATCCAACTTACTGGAAGTGTTTTGACTTGACACAGCAATATTCCAGCACTATGGCGGCGGTCTGTAAATAATCGAGTCTGGACCAGACCATCCAGTGATCAGCGTCATGAGCATCAATCTACGCAATTTGGATAAGATGACATGTGTCAACCAAGTCTGCGAACTTGACCATCCAATCCCGTTAGTCGCCTCTTAAGACAAGCATGGGTTGCTGGATATCAATTTTAACCCGGATCTGCACAGGGCGCCTCTTCCAAGCATGGGCTACTGGAGACCAATTCTAACCTGAATCTGCACAGGGCGCCTCTTCCAAGCATGGGCTACTGAAGACCAATTCAAACCCGGATCTGCACAGCGCCTCTTCCAAGCATGGGCTACTGAAGACCAATTCAAACCCGGATCTGCACAGGGCGCCTCTTCCAAGCATGGGCTACTGGAGACCAATTCTAACCTGGATCTGCACAGGGCGCCTCTTCCAAGCATGGGTTACTGAAGACCAATTCAAACCCGGATCTGCACAGCGCGCCTCTTCCAAGCATGGGCTACTGAAGACCAATTCTAACCCGGATCTGCACAGGGCGCCTCTTCCAAGCATGGGCTACTGAAGACCTATTCTAACCCGGATCTGCACAGGGCGCCTCTTACAACAAACATTGGTTACTGAAGATCAACCCGGATCTTCACGGGTTGGTGCAGATCTGAGTAGACAGCTTTTTCACGGGGTTTTCAATGGTACAGATCTTCGCATCGCATGTATAATTCAGGCGGAATGATAAAAGAGTTTGTAGGTCAGCCAAAACAACCGTGACGAGTGACTAACCACAGGCAAACTGTAGCGCAAATAGTATTGCGCAACAGAGAGTAAAATGACCAGTCTTCCTATATGCGCGCGAAGTGAGCAAGGGTTGGCAACGTACTTTCCTCGCTTCGGTTCGAAAAATATTTGTAATGTCAAAATGAAATATCGCCACCATCAAATGTAGACACCTACTTCCTCACAGGGTTGTGCTGTCAGATTTCCAACATCGTATTTTATATTTACTCACGTGAAATATATTTCATTCAACATTTTAAGTGCCATCCGTGTCATATCAAACACAGTCTAAGTAAACTTAGGCTCAGTATTATTCGTTACACTGCTATACTGAATATACTGAATTACCCCTGCCAGCTTCCAGTTCAACAGAGTGAAGGAACAGGGGAGTTAACTCTAAATATACTTGCTGAATCACATTGCCGCCATATGGAAAGTTCGCCTCACTTGCTTTCATTCACCCGCTACGTCAGAAGTGTTTTAATTAATTAATAACTACAGCAGATAAATAGATATAATCTTAAACAGCTTAATGATATAATTAGGCAATATGTAATTTCTTATTAATTTCTGCTTATTATTGTTCCTTCACTCCGCTGAGCGGTGATACCGAGCTCTAAAATTATGTAGCTGGTCTTATTTGTGTTGACATACCAATTCAATCTATTTTAATTTCTTACATCCAATGTTTTAATTTAATTCAAATTAGTTTATCTAATTTCTTTTCAGCCACATCCTCTGTATTCATTTCATTTCCAGCCTTACTTTGCTGGTCCCTTTCCATGGCAGGGATGTGGGGTAGCCTAGTGGTTAAAGCGTTCGCTCGTCACGCCGAAGGCCCAGGTTCGATTCCCCACATGGGTACAACTTGTGAAGCCCATTTCTGGTGTCCCCCGCCGTGATATTGCTGAAATATTGCTAAAAACAGAGTAAAACCATACTCAGCCAGCCAGCCCTTTCCATGGCCCTTCTTTGGTTTGTTGTTTAACGCCATCCGCGATAATCTCCACTATACCCTGGATACATCTATGGCTCGGCCCCATGATTTTATTACCTCCCTTGGCTGGCTTTTTATCCAATCAGGTGTCTACGCTGGGAAGTTGAGCGTACCAATCACAACTCACTTTCGCTTCTTTTATCTAACCGATTAAACTTGGCAACATAATTGTTGCAGAGGTACTCTGGAAGAGGTAGAGTTCTTGCATATATTTTTGAGGTTTCAGACCTGTCAATTTGTCTGTATGATTTCCCCCAAATCTGAGTCGCACTGCGAACAAACCTACGCAGCTTCGACCGCTATCTTTGTTGACACTGGCAAGCTCAGTTGTAACGGAGGCTAAGCTGATTGGCGACTGTGAGAATGCATCCAGGGTACTGGTGGAGATTTATCGTACGTATACCCTGGAGATTATCGAGGATGGTTTAACGCCTCATTCAGCAATATTCCAGGTGTATGACATCTGGACCATAATATTCAGTGACTGACATCATAAGCATCGTTGCAATTATAGAAGAAAACAGAACAGAGTTTATTTCGTATATTTTGGCCATGAGACCAATAGTACAATGGTCGTAAAGTTTATGATTTTACAGATAACAGAGCGCTTAATGGTTTACAGATGTTTCTAAATTTGAACACTTTTTCACAAAAATGAGCGAGTTTAAATAACCATTCATCATTCATCATTCATCATTCATAATTCATCATTCTGTGTAGTAATTAGGGATATAAAGTTCAACATTGATGGGTATGTGTAATAATATGCAGGTAAATACCCTACACGAAGTTGATTATAGGATGGACATATAAGCATTACATGATATTCATCTTCCTCCCCTTCCATACAAAAAAGGGCGGTGGGGTAGCCTAGTGGTTAAAGCGTTGGCTCGTCACGCCGAAGACCCGGGTTCGAATCCCCTCCTGGGTACAATGTGTGAAGCCCATTTCTGGTGTCCCCCGCCGTGATGTTGCTGGAATATTGCTAAAAGCGGCGTAAAACCAAAACTTAGTCAGTCAGTCAGTCCATACAAAAATCTCGGTTCCCAATTGCGCATGCTCATGCTGTTGATCACTGGTTTGTCTGGTCCAGACTCGATTATTACAGACCGCCGCCATATAGCTGGAATATTGCTGAGTGCGGCGTAAAACTAAACTCACTCACTCACTCACTCATGCCTTAGTCAGCCGATCCAGTTAGTGGCCTGTTACAAGAAAGAGCATGGGTTGTTGAAGACCAATTCCATCCAGGATCTTCCGCGTGTCCTTTCTTTGAGCTACTATGCTCTGACTTCTGTGAGAGTGGTAATTTAGAAGTTCGGAAGTAGAATACATGTATAGACAAACTTTAAGTGAGGTGAGTGAGTGAGTTGAGTGAGCTGGTACTATTGAATCAGCATCTCTTGTTGGAAACATTAATATCCGTGAGTGAGTGAGTTGAGTTTTTCGCCGTGCTCAGCAATACTCCAGCTATATGGCGGCGGTCTGAAAGTAATCGGATCTGGACCAGACAATCCAGGGATCAACAGCATGAACATCGATCTGCGCAACTGGGATGCAAACGTTAAGGAATGCTGCTTGACAACAGTACCAGATTCAGTTAAACTAAAACAAACAAGCGAAAAACATTTCTTTCTTAGGGCGTTCTTTAGAAAAAGGCCATTAGTGCGCTGCATATAAACTGGGGGTGGTCGGGATAGCCTTAGTGTTTACAGCGTCCGCTCGAAGACCAGGTTCGATTCCCCACATTGGTAGAATGTGTGAAGCCCATTTCGGTGTCCCCGCCGTGATATTGCCCTGAATATTTCTAAAAGCGGCGTAAAACAAAACTAACCTCTAAACGCAGCACTCATGAAATAAAGAAGTTGTTATCCATAAAGTTTCCCTCCTTCTCTCTCTCTCTCTCACTCGAACTCGAACTCTCTCGAAAGATCGCGGGTTCGATCCCAGACCGCGTCATACCAAAAGACGTTAACATATGGTACTTGTTGGTCCCTGCTTGGCGCTCGGCATTAATGGGTACAACAAGGACTGGTCGGCTTGGAGTCAGTACTATCCACCTGCTACAGTTGCCTTAGTGACAGGGTCTTGTAACGAATGTAATGCAAAACATGCTTTGGTCAACTTCATTCAAAGTCATAGTAACATTTTTTGTCAACACTTTGGTCATTTTTTGACGTTATTTGTGTGTACATATTTGCATATGTTGCTGAATAGATTATCTTTTGTCCTCGTTCATTAGTAGGTTGGCGCGAGGCAAACATTGACAATAGTACGGTGGATCTCCTGCATTTTTCTTTATGAAAAAAGCCAATTTCTGGTGACCCCCTGCCGTGATATTGTTGGACTGTTGCTAGAACGGCGTAAACTCAACCTCACTCCCTCCTACCACTGGTGACTCCTGCTTATAATATGTTGGAATATTGCTAAAGCGATGTAAAACAACTCACTTTATGAAAGACTTCAACCTGTAGAACAGGACATGCTCGTTGTGAACAGGGCGGTCAGAAGTGCCTTTAAAAAGATGT